TATTTCACTCTTGCAGTTATCCAATGTGAAACAGATTGTGGTTTTTCTGCTGCTAAGGAAAAAAAACATCTTGCCCAGAATGTCAGTGATGTGAGAGACATTGATATTAACTGTCCCCCTCCTAGCCATCCTTTGCAAGATCACTATTTTTTTTATTTGAATCAGGAAATAGTAATCTTATTAAAGATTGCTGGAGGATGGTGTGAAAGAAAGAAAATAGTTGATTAATCTATTAGAGTAGACAAAGGCCTATATAAATGTAACAGGCTTAAAGAAAACAGGTACGAACCAACATCCTCATCCAGTAATAGAAGTGTCTGTAATTTTCCTAAACCGTTGCAATTTGTGAAATATTTAGGACCAGAAGAAAACCGTGAGAAATGAGGAACTAAAAGTAACAGATGGCTGAAAGTTTCAGTTGTACACAGGTACATGGAAACAGATGGTCATCAAGAAAGGAAATAGGGAAGTGGTTTTTGTGGTTAGAAGAAAAGTATAAAGAATAGGGTTTGAAATCGACTCAGGGCCCCTTCTTGGCTTTAGCTGTCCACAGGACTTGCTTAGCCGAAGGGACCCCATTGCAATGGATGACTAACGTAAGTGTATTATTGTTTTTATATCTATTCATTTCTGATGTTCCAAATTATTAGAAACAATAAACCTCTGATCTTAAAGTAAGAATTATTGCTTGTGTTGTTGCTTTTGTTTCCTATTGGAATTTTCTTATGACAATGGGTATCTATACCTTCTTCTGTAGTAATCCTGACTGTGGTAGAGAATATACTCTTTTCCTTCATTTTGAAGTTTCTCTTATTCATCAAAACTTTTAAAAATATTTTTAAGATAGTCAGGAATGCCAATAAGGACTGTAATGTTGATGCTATTGTACATCTTGGCACACATGATCTGTCCCCAAAAGATGTACTCTTTCTGTGCAGAATGATTTCCACAGCTTGGGGCACAAACTTAGTACTATAGGCTGTAGGCTTACCTTTTTAGAGGTTTTACCAGTATATAAGGAACAAAAAGGAAAAGGCCAGCGTATAGTGGAGTTTAAGAGAGTAAGTAAGTAAGATCTTTATTACAGTCAAAGACCAGCAATNACACAACAACCACGTTTCCTTTCTCTACCTTCATAAAGTTATGCAAGGCAGGGCGTAGAATCTCATTTTATATGCAGTTCTTTTTAAAAAAAAAACAACCAAACTGATTTGCCTTTCATCTTCAACAATACGGCTATTTATCTAAATGTGCTGCATATTTCTACAAAGAAAGCTTAGGCAAATCAATTCGGTTTCACTCTCCCTGCCCTTTTTCTTCTTTTATTTGTACGATGTGCTTCGTACAATGTGTTTTTTCTAAGGAGGCAGAAGTGACCTTTTCTGATCACGTCAACGATGATTATTTCCCTTCGTTGAACAGAATAAACCGTTAACGTAGTTTCTTTGGACCGAAGTAGGTGGCTTAATACTGCAGCTGTGAATTAGAAAACTCATTGCGCTGTTCCTTGGAGAAAAGAGTGGGTTTAGGAAAGAGAATAATGTTTTCTCAGGGAAATGTTGGGAAGATCGTATAAATATTTTTTTTTTATAGAAGAAGGTAAATTTTTAGAAGGTATCTTTATGTGCACTTTAGAAGAGAAGAAGTTTCAGAACCTAGGAGACCATGTTTTCCTGATAGGTGCTGCAAGTGACATCAGCTTCCAAAAGTTTAGGCAGGGATGGGCTTCAAAAATTTTAGCAAGAGGTTCTCTGCCCGGTTGTTGGGTGGGTGTGGCCATGCTGGGCGTGGCCTAGTCGGCCTTCTGCACCACAGCAGAGGGGGATTTGTGTCTACCGGGGCTCCGGCCTATGGGTCCATTTCCAGCCTTCCCAAACTTCCAGTAGGCCCATTTTTCACCCTCCCCGAGCCTCTGTGTCAGGGGTGGGTTTCTCGCCCCGATCCAACCGGTTCGGTTGGAACGGGGCTGGCGGCGTCCTCGTGCACGCGTGCAGTGCACGCATGCGTACTAGCGTCTGCGCGACACTCCAGCTGCTCCTGGACGATTGCGCAGGCGCTGTATGCATCCTGCGCATGTGTGGAAGCGCAGAACTCATCAAAACTGGGTAAGGACCGCGGGTGGGCAGGCGCGCCCTTCGCCATTCCTGGAAGTTACTTATTTCCGGGTTCGGCAACCAACCGGTTCGCAGGGACCGCCACGAACCGGTTGAAACCCACCCCTGCTCTGTGTGCACCCTGCACTTAACTGCATCCAAAATGGGGCATGTGGCGACTCCTGGGAGGGGAGGGGTGGGCGGGGCCAGCCAGGAGTGGGATTTTGGGGTTCTCCAAACTGCACAGAATCTTAGCTAGAGGTTCTCCTGAACCCCTGCGAACCCGCAGCAGCCCACCCCTGAATTTAGGTCAAGGTATCTTCCAGGCTTGTGATTTGAAATTCTTTCAACTGTCTGAACAGCTTATCATGGCAAAACAATCATGAAGACTTTGAAATTTCAGAACTGACGCCTAACCTCTCTGCTGGAGCTGCTTCCCCATTTCTTTGTATGATTAGAGGGTCTTCAATCAGAGCAGACACTTCTGTACTCCTCTGGGTAGCCTAGTACTGCTGTTCGATTTAGATATTTTTCAAGATTATTTTTTTTTGTAGTACTCTGAAGCTCCTCCACTTGCTCCCTTCAATTCTTCATTTTCCCCTCAACACAGTGATTGTCCTTGAGTGTGACACTGATTTGAAATCTTTTGCCTGGTGGTGAGTAAGTAAGTAAGATCTTTATTACAGTCAAAGACCAGCAATATACATTTGTTTTTACACTGTATTAAAAAATACTAACATTAAAATATAATTAAAAGTATTTACATTAAAAGTGGATAATAACATAATGGTCCAGAGATAGTTAGAGGTATGTCCAGATAATTGGTACAAGATGGTACTATACTTNCGGAGCACTGTGCTAGTGCGATGTAAGACAATGGTGTGCAGATGGAGGGCGAGCTGCTCCACTCTTCTCCCCTCCTCTAAGTCCTAGAAGAGCTTCCCAGGCCACAGGTCCAAAGTCAGTAGCATATAGAGTGGCTGTAAGCGGAGAGGGCACGGGATAAAGGTCCGGTATTGGTACACAGTTTACTTGAGTATAGCTTTAGGGTTCCAAAATAATTATGCCTCGGAAACTGAAATTCTAAATTACAAATACGCCACTCTCATTATTACACTCCCAAAGGCCCCTGATGTTATCATTATCATCCAGAGTATCATCCAGTTTCTTAAGGGATGTAGATATTTTATTTTTAATGGTGGTTGTGCTTTTAATTCAACTTGAGTTGTCTTTTTTAGTACCCTTAAGTACTTTTTTATGAAGAAAAGAGAGATAAAAATATTCAAATTAATAAACAAAAAGCATCCAAGTTTCTTCCTAAAGTGTGTATTAATTTTCCTATCTCTTGAAGAGATCTTTGAAAAGTGAGCCAGGGCAGTGTCCATGACGTGGGTGCCAATAAACACTTACCACCTGTTGAGCAAATACATTTTATGCATAAGGATAGAGAAGCACTTCCACACAAGAGGGTACCTTGATTGTCATAATATTTGCTTTAGAATTTCTTGCTTAAAACCTTAATTTTCTTCACCTTTGCTATCAGCCTTGAAAGTGGGAATAGAAGACCTGAGATGTGGGAAAACATAACTGTAGGAAAAACAGGCTCTGGATTATGTATGCCTCTGTAAAAGTTAAAGGTTTCTCCTTTCTAGATGTGTCCGGTTCTAGGGGGCAATGCTCATCTCTGTTTCTTAGTCAAGGGGGCTAGTGTTGTCCAAAGACCATTTCCATCATCATGTGGTCAGCATGACTATATGCCAAAGCACACAGAACGCTACTACCTTCCCACCATTTATCTACTCTCATTTGTTTTAGAACTGCTAGATGGGCAAGAGCTGGGGCAAGAAGGGGAACTCACTCCATTGCGGGATGCTTGGATCTTGAACCTGGACAACAAACTCAGTGTCTTTAATCACTGAGCCATCGCGCCTCCCCCCCCCCCAACCTTAAGCTTCTTTACAGTGGACATCTTATAGCGCTATATGAAGATGTATTCTTTATGCATTACTTGTGACTTTTCATATACCTTTCAAAACAAACTCTACAATGTTTGGTGTTGCTGATATCTGGTTTCATTATACGTATGTGACAAGTCATAAAGTTAATGAGCAAAGAAATCTGTTTCCAAAGCTCAGATTTTTTTTAGAAACCTCAGTAAAACTGTACAAAGAAATCCTAAATCAGGCTTTAAGATCACACTTGAATCATCGTAGAAATATTACTGAAAGCAGCAGGTCCAGGCTGCTTGGGACTAGTCCTGGAGTGCAAATATTTCCCTTTAAGATATCCATGTGGGTCCCAAACTTAGAAATGCTTGAGGAGTAATTTTAACTGTCTACTGGCGAGCCCTAGATGTTTAAATAAAAATGATTGACTTGCTAAACTCCTTAAAATGCTTTTAATATAGGTGCAAGCTGTGAAAATGAAACATTTACCTGCACATTGCATTTCCTCACCTCACGTTTTAAGGGAAACACATAATTAAGTTGTGCCTTCTGGTGCATTATGGCAAGAGAGAGGGCAACACAGATCATCTATTTCTGGCAGCATAATGCTTTAAGCATGTGTTTTTTAACCTGCTCAGCTGCTGGAATAAAGGGACTTTTAACTTGGACAACCTTATTCTTTCTTTGGTAAATAAATAAAGCATATTTTTTCCTGCTTTTCTGTGGAAGTGATATGTAGGAAACAATTCCACAATCATAATGTGGTTTAAGAGCCACTGCTATATTAGTAGCAGTAGTTTGCCCTTATTTGTTGTCTTTCAAAGGGTGATTTGGATGTCTTTCAAATATGGATGTGATTTATATGGTGTTGGTTTTATGTGGTGTCTATGGGTGTATCCACGTTGGCCCACAAATCCGCCCATCAATTCTAATACAGGGCACCTCTTCACAGGAAATCCATTTACAAAACATAGGCAGAGCACCATACCATGTGAGTTTCTCCTTGTGAATAGACATTCATTGGTGACATTCTCTTTTGAACTGAGACTAAAGGAGGCCTTTCCCGTGAATACAGCTGCTTGTTTATTTTCCTCTGTAGAATTAGAGACAGGAAAATTGCTAGGAGGATCAAGGCAAGGATCGCCATTAGTATCACAAACCACAACTCTGTGTAGAACATTGCTTGCTTTGTGTTGCCTTTGTTATTTTCTCCTGGAGTTGTCAAGACAGGACCTATAGAATCCAGAAAAAAAATGGTGGCAAGCAAGGGATGGACAGAGGGGAGAGAGAGAGAGAAAGAGAGTGAGAGGGAGAAGCAGGAGGAAATTAATGTGTTATTTCAGAAAGAAAATATGTGATTCAGTTGTTCTCTGTTAGTTTTGTAATTTGGGGCTACTTCATCACACCCTTCTTATTTTCAAGGTGCTGCAGTGCCTAAATACGTGAATGGTCAGCGATGCAAAGCTCTTTTCACCTTGCAGATGCTGTTTTAGTGTTGGCATTGCTGTTTGCAATGGAAACACTGGGAAGAAGAGGGCAGACTGTGTGTGTCCGTTGAAATTAAGGCAGATATATCACAATAATCTTGCACAGCTGAAATTGGGTGAATATTTTATGCTTTTAGGTATAGGCATGTTGCAAAAAGCTTTTCTGTGCTTGTGCCAAAGAAATTAGAGTGATAATGCCCACTGCAGTTCTTATAATGGTATTAAAAAAATAAAAAATAAAATGAGGCTGTTTGAATGAATAAGTGGGGCAAGATTTACAAAGGATTTCATTGTTCTTGTTTTTCAGCGAAGGATATGTATTTGCAAACATATCTGGATAAATGTCAGACAATTTGATCATGCAAGCCTGAAGCAATAGCTTGTGAATTTTGAAGGAATACATGTATCAGTGAAATAATAGCATGGAAGCATGCCAAGGCAGTAAACCAGCTAAGCCTTACTCACTCACTCACCAAATGAATGAATAAATAAATAAATGCTAATCTGGCTTTTCCCTTTTCATTAATTGTCTCCTCTATTGTTTTCAGCTTAAGGTAATGTCTTGGCTGTGTGCACACTTCATTCTTGCAGACAAGACAGCAACGATGTTAACGCATAAACATTTTTGTATTGTAAATAACAGCTACCCGGAAGCACGAACAGAGATGTATTAAAAAGAGTTTGACACTCTCTCACTCACTCTGTCAGGGACAAAACAAACTACTTCTGCAAAGTTTGCTAGTTGCATTGAAATGGAAGTTTCCCTTCAAATGCAAATAAGCAGCCTTAGATTGGTGATTTTTGTCAAATTGAGGCATAAAATTAAAAAATAAAATTATTTCTACAAAAAATAACAATGTGTCCATTTATTTGCAATGATCCATGCTGAGTTTGATTTGTGCACAGCAAATATTAAAACTGAAGGGAAATATTAGTATAGGAGAAACAATTGAAATATTTGTTCTTGATTCATATTTTTATGATCTTATGCTTGACAAAAAGAACTGTATTATAAAATAACCGAAGCACGAAAGATACTTTGTGTATTTTATAATGCATAGATGCAATTAAGAGAATAAACTATTTATTCTATGGACTAAACACTTCATACTTGCAGCTAATAATTATAACACAACTTCCAGACACAATAAGGATCAATTTTTTTCAGTAGTTACCAAATCCAGTAGCAGCATTGTACTTGATTACTGGTGTTATAGCACTCCCTTCATCAGTGATGCAAGTCACCTGAAATAAATAAACTGAAAAGAAATGAAGAATTTAAAAAAAGAGCATTATATGCACCTTTTATATTATGATTTCATTTGCATGTCTATATAGAACGAACTCTATCCCTTTTGTCTTGGAAGGTATAATATGCATTGATGTTTTCCCTCCATACTTGGAAAGTTTGCAAATGATATCCTTTAAAGGGATGCAAAAATCCATATAGCCACAAGATGGCAGCAAATATTTTATTTCCTGTTTCTTGTCTGTCACTGAGTGTGGATTTTTGTAACCCAGAACTCGAAGTGATCCTAAAACCCGTACCCCTGAAGTATGCCACCAAATACCAATAAAATGTATTTATCTTTGGTGGGTCATTTAAATGAATCCCCACATATAATGGGAAGAAGTAGCAACCATCAATGACTATTGCTTCTTCTAATTGCTATTCCTTCGCTACAGTTTAGCAAAACCTCAGAACCACTGAATCTCCTTGAGCTTTTAACATTTCCCCCCCCCCCCCTATTTTAATCACTAACTTAAAAATCAGTGTAAGCATGGGAGATGATAATCAGAATCTCTTCTGGACTATCATTTTATTACAGTAGTATTTCATCAGATTGTTTTATCCCCCCACCCCCTAAATCCAGTCTTCTTTCTTCTAAAGTGCACGAGTTAAAAAGCTAGATGTAATTATCCAAGAATATTAAAAATTATGGGTAGTACATATTTGGCCAAAGGCTAAGTTTGGTGAGGTAGAGAGTAAAAAAAAGCCCCACTTCTCCTTTCATGCACCTATTCCTAGGCAAAGAGATTGGTAGTTTGATTCTTGCATTAGCAACTTCAGGATGGAATTGTCAACTGGTGTAAGTAGGACAGCTCTTATGATTGACCTGGAAGCTACAAATAGCATGGAACTAAATATGTAGTGCAGCCTGGAGTGTCTTTTGATTGAATATATACTATCACAGTGGTATTCACTCTCACTGAACCAGTGGTGGGTTGCAGACGGTATGCCCTGGTACGGGCGTACTGGATCCTGCCCGGAGCACCGGATACCGTTCCGGTACGGTGCTCCGGAGGAGGGCCCACCTGTGCTCCTTACCAGTGCTTTATGCTGTTGGCACTTCCGTGCACACGCATGGTGCGTACAGCGCCTGCGCAATGCTCTGTGGAGCAGCTGGAACATCGCGGAGGCTTGCGGAAGCATAATTTGATGCTAGAACGCATGCACGCACTGCGTGTGTGAGCATGCGCTGCGCTGTGCATGTGGATAACTCTGGGGTTGTTCCAACCATACCAGTTGGATCGGAATCCGGAACACACCACTGCACTGAACATATAGATTTTCTTAAAGTTGATCTGTCCCTAACCTGATTTCCCTGCATTTATTAGATTTATGAAAACCACTAAATTTGATTCAGCGTTTTAATGCTGGCAGACAAAACCCCAAAACAATTACCTAAACCAACATTTTCAATTAGAGCAACTTCATAGGTATATAAATGATCTTTAGAGATGGTCAGATCCTCCATGCTGTATTTTGCTGTTCCATGCTGATGCAGAGATGAACCTTCTTGGTGGCAAACCTCTGGCACGTGTGCCAGTAGTGGCACACAGAGCCATCTCTCTGGGCATGCCAACCATCGCCCATTGCTCTTCCAGGTTCCGGCATGCTGGTCTTTGCATGCACAGGAGCACTGGAAAGCAGAAGAGCAATGGGTGACAAAACCTCAGGTTTCTGGCGCACACATGGAACTTGTTTTCACACATACAGGAACGCTGGAAACCGAAAGACCAGAGCTGAGCTTCTGGTTTCTGGCACATACATGTGCGCCAGCCAGCTGGTCTTTACACACGCATGCATGTCAGAAACCGGAAGACCAGGTGACTGGCATGCATGCACATGCCAGAAACAGGAAGCTCAGCTTCCTGGCATGTGTATGTGCACAGGAGAACTGCTCTTCCAGTTTCCGGTGCACAAATGCACTCCCGTTTCAGCACTATGTGCAAAAAAGGTTCGCAAACACTGATTTAAGGCATCTCTTGAATCCTTACAGTGGCATTCTCTACCCATTAATTTCCTCTAAAATTCCATTTCCATTCTGTCTGATGAATTGATAGCCAACCTTGTTTGTTCATGAGCTCAAGGTAGTGAACGTTGTACTTCTTTCTCTTATTTTCTCCGACTTTTCCTTACAATAAAAACCCTGTGCGGTAGCTTATGTAGTCACTCACATAGTGTGTTTACATGGTTAAGGTTTCCCCATTCCTAAACCAACACCGTATGTTGTTCTCTTAAGATTTGACACTGGCTGCTATTCTGTGGCTGTGGCTGTGACTGTGAAACTGAAACAAAATAAAACAAGCAGGTACATCCCTCAATCTAAGGGCTACGGAGCTCAGTGTTAAGATATGGGGAAACATTTTTGGAAGTTGCTTTATTATGAAATTGATTGCAAGCTGCCTTAATGATTATCTGATCAAGTTATGAAAGAGTAAATAATTTAAAAAGAGTTGTACACATTGCTACATTGCCTTAAAAAGCAAGATTAAAGATGAATATTCTTTGATTCAAGCTTACTTTTGTCAGATGTCCTTGGCAAGTACAGTCTAGTATCAAAGCCACTGTAGATGCACTGCCCTCCTTCCATTAGCACATATTCCTTCAGAAGCCCATTCAGTAGGAAAGTGTGACTCCAATCCAAGAAGATGGTGGATAAATTTCCAATTATGATAAATGGGGATTTGTATAGAGGAACTGGCAAGAAAAAAGAGAAGCATTAAGACAGTAAACACATTGATATCCAAATCAATAGCCACTACTCTATGCATGTTTACATTTATTGTTCAGTTAGTAGTTTCAAGCAATGGATGATTATCAATTAAAATAAAAATGTTTCCAATGAAATAAACAAAATTCACGAGTGTTCCGATTCCAGACTGCTATGTGTCGTTTTTGGGAGATGATGACAGAGATAGACAAAAGGCCGAGAAATTTTATGTCTCAGTTATGGAAAGGCAAAAATTAACTTGTCTATATGGGAATGCTGCAATTGAAGAACAGGACAGACTTATAAATTGTAATAATTAGCATTTTAAATACTGCACTTCATATACTTACACTTAACAATTCTTACCTTTATTTTCAGGAAGACAACTCTTTCTGGCAATAAAAACTCAACTGAAATCACAAGCTTCCTTGTTTTCTGTGGGACTCTATAGTTCATACTTAATAATTTTTAATTAATCAATGATCGCCAACTGGACATTTACATTTTAGAGGGAACTTCAGTGTTAATTATAAGAAAAAAGCTATCCAAATCATTAACGACTGTTCTATGGATGTTTACATCTATTATTGTTGAGTCCGTAATTTCAAGCAATGGATGATTAGCAATTAAAATAAAAAATGTTTCCAATTAAATAAACACAATTCATGGGTTCTTCCATTCCAGACTGCCGTGTATCCTTTTTTGGGACATAGAAAAACAAAAGGCTCAGCAATAGGGTGAAAAAAAATTATTACTGGGCCTCAGCAATGCTGTTAAAAAGTATTACCCAACTAGATCCGTCCAATAAAGGCGATACTATAACATAAGGCATTTTAGTTGATATCCTTAATCCCAGGAACTCTATCTATTTTTACTCTGTGTTGCTTTACCTTCGTCCATATCTGTTTCTACTTCATTTACCATTCTATAATTTATCCCAGTGCTTCTCGATCACAAATATATGTGGACTTCAATTCCCAGAATTCTGGGAATCGCCAAGGCTGATAAACTCATCTATCCACTTTTATTCCATTGTTTTTTGGAACTCTTCAACTTCCCCACCTGCCTTTCCCCCTCATAATCATTCCTATGGTTCCGGGAATGTGTCTTTTTTCTTCTACGTCTTCCCTGCTTCCTGAATTCTGCAGGTGCATTTGGTGTTGTGTTTCATTCACATTTGGTGGCTGTTCCTCAGAGGCATCATTCAAGACTTCCTCCTGTAAAATTCTTCGCCTTGCCTACCTCTGATGTCTGTATTGTGTTTCAGGGTTGCTGGAGTCAGTTACAGCACCACAGACATTATTGTGGCTGTTGGCACAATAACTGCTATTGTGCATCTTCTAACTGCTCTCACTGAGCTGGTCCTTGATTGTCAGTTATTCTCATCTGGAACTGCTGTTGCTTCAGCTCCAGGGATTTCAGTTCTTTTGGGTCTGCTCCCTTCCTATCTACTTTCCTACCTACCTTCTTATTCTGTTTCTTCCTTTTTCCACCATTGCTACACTTCCTCTTTAGTCAACCCCCCCTTTTTTTTAAAGAGCCAGCACTCTTTAAAAAAACGATCAAAGGAAGGGGATCAGTGCCATATGTCCTTTCTCTCATATTCCTCCTCAAATCCCGCCCCCAAATCGTTAAAACACTCTTAATAAGAGTAAATTAATTGAATCTGAAAAGGATTGAACTTTGACTACAGTTGCAGTAACTGGTACAATTACATAAACGTGACAGGAAAGTAAAATAGTTAACTTCAGTAGTAATAAAAACATATTTTTCATAATTAATAAATATTTTTAAAACATCATGATAAGTGATGGTCTTTCTACTCTTATCAAGCTGTCTATACTTCTTAGGAAATATATTTGTCTACATTTTTAGAATGCTTTCCTCGCAAAGCATTTATTGCAAAGGTAAAATGAGCTCACAATATTACAATATGATACATTGTACCATTCACTTAATCAATTGTCTAATTCATCACTGCACAAGCAAAAAGCATGAAAAAGGAAAACAAGAACTTTCCCCTGAGTTTGTGCTAACCGAAGAAGAAAAAGGATCAAGAAGTGACCTTGTTTTTTAAATATGTTCAGAATCCGCCAAAGAAAGCAAAAAATTAGACCATCTGAGCATCTTGCAACAAAAAAAATAATTATTATTGGAAGAGACTTTTATTGGATGAAGTTTAACACTGAATAAAATTATAGGAGATTGGCTAAAAAGAAACTCAGTTGGATAATATAATCCTATTTCAGCTGCTTTTATTTAATTTTGTTTCTAATATTGGGAAAAATGCTCCAATAATAGTAAAGTCTTCTGATTTTACAACCCCTTAACATACCACAAAAGTTGCACAGTCTTGACACTTATAAATAGCGAAAGGTTTTGGCAAATTTCCTTAATTTTTTAATTTCACATTTTTACTCACTTTTAATTTTTGCAAGGAACAAGAAAATCTTGTTCAGAAACAGTAAGACTAAATTATGAAAAATTATAAATTGGGCACTTTCAATAATCTGTCCATGTTTTTAAAAGCTACCAAGTAGATAGAAATTATTGGTATTTTTAAAAACCAATTAACAAAAGTCCTATTAAAAGAAAAACAGGTGAAGGTTTTTGCTTATTATATAGGATACCAGTTACATAGTCTCTCTCTCTCTTTTTTTTACCATTCTAAGAATTACAGGGGACATGGTGGCTGAGTGGCTAAGACACTGAGCTTGTTGATCAGAAAGGTCAGCAATTCAGCAGTTCAAATCCCTAGTGCCGCATAACGGAACGAGTTCCTATTAGTTGTTCCAGCTTCTTCCAACCCAGCAGTTCAAAAGCATGTAAAAATGTAAAAAATGCAAGTAGAAAAATAGGGACCACTTTGGTGGGAAGGTAACAATGTTATGTGCGCTTTCGGTGTTTAGTAATGCTGGTCACATGATCATGGAGATGTCTTCAGACACTCTTCGGCTTTGAAACGCAGATGAGCATTGCCCCCTGGAGTGGGGAATGATTAACACATATGTGCGAGGGGAACCTTTACTTTTACCTAAGAATTCCAGGTTCAGCCCTTAATAGTTGTGATAGGAAGCAAAGCTCTCCTAAAAGTGATGGAGACCAAATGCGAATCTTTATTTTTGTCTGTAGAAACTCACCCTCTTTTTCAGTAGTAAAAGTAATCCATTCTGAAGTAGTACTTCCAACTGAATTGTAGGACACCACTCTCAGTTTGTAGGTTGTATAAGGCTGAAGGTCACTTACACTGGAATGCCGGTTCTTTCCACTATATCTCACTTCGATAGGTCCAGGCTTACAAACTCTTTCTATGGGCAGTAACCAAGGAAGACAGGATGTGTACATGTGGAGTTCATATCTATAAGAAAAGAAATCAGCATTAATAATAAACATCACTTGGGTTTGCATATGGCTTTCAACTGTAATATGGCTTGTTTCTGCTTAGGTGATGAGCAATGCATTCACATTATGAATGTATGTGTGAACCAAGGTAATTTAGCTTACTAAATTATCAAATGATTTATGGTTTGCTTAGCAAATCATGGCTAAGCAAACCATAAATTATCACAATATGTGAAGTCAATCTTTTCTGGCAATTGTGAGTTTATCCTTCCCAATATCAAATGCTGATTAAACTGAAAGGTTGACATACAATTTAATTGCTTTGGAGTTCTCTATATTCCATTCATTCTACTTATGTGCTGTGCATGATTTTTATAGGAAAATGGTATGTCATTATTTCAGTGAAACAGTGAAGTAATATTTTCAATAATTAGAGATGAATAAAGATATTTCCTATTGCCTAGACTTCACAATTATATTTTCAAAATCAGTATCAAATTGTAATTCATTCATACTATATTTCAAAAATCTAGATATAAATACATGTTAGACACTTAGATTCTACTAAATATTTTCCCCAAATTATGAATGTAAAAATAAGAGCTAATTTAACCTGTGTACTTTTAGGGCACCGGTTTTAATCCATGATTTGTCTTTGAAATTCTATTTTACATTTATGAAGTGATTGAAGAAGGGAAGAATCTATTAAGCTGTGGGCTCACTGATAAAGCTATATATAAATAGCAACACATTATTGTTTTTCTTCTATATGCGTATTGGAAAAAATGATCTCAATTCGGTAAACATGGCTATCTGTAAAGAATCAGATGAAAGGCTCTAAAACTAACTAGCTAGTAGTTAGTGTTGGATTAAGAAACTTAATACAGTTAAAAACAGGAGAATCTAATGGTGAAGGCGCCAAGCTAAAATCCAGGAAACTGATTTCTACTCTTACTTTAGCCATGCAGGCCAGCTGGGTGACTTTGAGCCAGTCACTTTCTTTCAGCCCAACCCAACTTACAGGGTTGTTGTTGTGATAAAATAGGAGGAAGAAGAGTATAAGGTATGTTCACCACCTTGAGTTATTTATAAAATAATGAAGGTGGGATAAAAAAAATCTAAACAAATTGATGTACCCATTTTGTAGTTTCATAAAGATTATTACATATATTATCAGATTAGTTTTGTATATCAAAACTATTTCATGAATAAGTAAAGTGCAGCAAAGGAAAGGGGTTATACACCTTCCTTGGTGAAGGAAGAGAAAGAAAGGCACAGAAAAAAAGAGAGAAGTGAGAGAAAGGATAGTGAGCAATATGTAGGTGTGAGTTCCCAACTGTAGATTATAGCTGAGCAGTTACCTTCTCACAATGCCATTGGGTTCCTGAGGAGCCTCCCACAGAAAAGAAGCATTTCTTGAAGTCAGATTTTCTATATGAGGAAATGGCTGCTGAGTTGGTGGAGCTGGTTGGGTGGTGACTTGAGCCATCGGTCCCTGGCTGCAGCAGTTAAAGCATGTGCAAGCTTCAACCCCAATAGAATAAGTGGTAAAAGGTTTGAGTCCATGTATTGTCTGCTGAGCAGTAGTTCCTTCTGAGAGCTGAAAACGACAGAACAAAAACAGAAGTAGATATCGACAAACAAGTAATCTTATGTACTGCACGATGCTCAGCTGGACGAACTATAAATTTGTTCATTTGATTTTTTTATCCTGCCTTTACTTTATTTTTACAATTCAAAAAGGTGTATTTGATGTCCCCTCTTCCTATTTTTCCAACAACAACAATAACAATCTTATGAAGGAGGCTCAGTTGAGAGACTGGCTCAAAATCACTAGGTCAGCTTTTCATGCCAAGCAGTAGACTAAAACTCATAGCTTCCTGACTTCTAGTCCAACACATTAACCACAAGATTCTGCTGTCTGTCTGACCTAATCCTAGATAGTTTTAGACGAAGGAAAGGCATATAGCTTCCTAAGAAGAGTGACTAAGCCAGACCCTGAACAGTAATACCAAACTGAGGGGCATGATTGGTAATCAATAGTACTTCCATTTTTTTCATCCCCAAAACTATAATACATCTTCCCTCACCAGCACCCTTCTTGAAGGAAAAGTTGATTTCATTTATTTTCTAATTTCACATCAGTAATAGTTAAAATCTATACTGAGCTATGCAATACCTTTATTCTATGCAATCAAGATGATTATTGAGGGCAATCCTATAATAATAATAATAGTAACTGCCGTCACCATAAATTTAATCAACTCAAATAGTTTGATTAATACTTACCACCTTCTCCTTTCCTTTGGTGCTATTAGAGAAGAACCTGTAGAGGGTGATTATTCCATTTGGTTTTAGAGGAGGACGGATGTTGACTACAGCAGAAGTAGAAGCTACTGTTTCAAACAAAGGGGCTGGAAGTCCTTGAGGAGGGGCTGGGCCAGTCTTACATTTTGTCCAATTGCTAGCGGTTCGGCCAGCAGAATTAACTGACCAAACCTGAAAAACAAGAATTCATAACAGCTCTAAAACATCATTCTGGGAAAAAAAATCCATGTTACCATTTCTGCTTTTGTTTATTTAACTATAACACCCAGAGTGCATTTACACTGTGATCTATGAGAAGGATGGGTGGTTAAGAAGTTTGATATATAAAAAAATAATAACAGAGAATGCTTCAGAACAAACTGAATTTGGGAAATATTTTTATAGTCTGCATCCATATTTATTTGATCACCACATTTCCCTGAAAATAAGACCCAACTGGAAAGCAAGTCTTAGCATTATTTTTCAGGATGCTCGTAATATAAACCCTACCCCCCCAAAAAATAAGCCCCAGTTAGGATCATCAGCCAGAGGGGAGTGATTAGAATCGTATTCCCCTCCCCAAAAAGGCCTAACCAAAAAATAAGCCCTACTTCATCTTTTGGAGCAAAAATTAATAAGACCTGGGTATTTATTTATTGTCTTTTCATCTGTGGTGAGCTCTCAGGGTTGCTAGAATGAGACAATTATGTTGCTTTAAAATGTAATTTCAGATGTTACTATGGCCAAGACAGTTTTTTCCCAGGTTCATCTGGTGCACCAGATGCATCTCTTCCTGGATCAGGAGACCCTGCTGATAGTCCCTCATTTCCTAGTCACCCCATGGCTCAAATACTGCAATACACTCTATATGGGGATGCTCTTGAACACAACCCAGAAGTTTCCATTTCTGTATGCAGTGGTGGAATACAGTGGTGCAGGTAGTGATGGCCAAGCCTCAATATGCCTATGTAACAATTCTTCTTTGTGAGCTGCACTGGTTGATAATTTGCAATTCTGGATGCAATCCAAGGTGCTGTTATGAATTATACTCTAGGTATAGGAAAAGGTTGTCTGAAGTTACTTATACGCTATGGATATAGTACATTTAGATTTTAGTAAGGCATTTGATAAAGTAGACCACAGCCTACTTCTTAATAAGATATAGGATATTGCTTATCCAACATTGTTTTATCAGATGGATTTGCTGATCAACTTCACTCATGTTGTTCTTAATGAAACTACATCTACATGGAGATGTAGTAGTGTGGTTCTTCAAGTTTCTGTCTTGGGCACAGTGACCTTCAACATCTTCATAAATGACATAAATGAGTGGATTGAAGGGATGCTCAGTAAATTTGAGGATGATACAAAATGGGAACAGGAATTGCTAACACTTTGGAAGATAGAATTCAGAAGTATCTTGATAGACTGGAGCATTGGGTCCTATCTAACAAGATACAGTTCAGTGGTAAAAAAAAAAAAGGTGCTGCACTTAGGCAGGAAAAGCCAAATAGGTACAAAATAGGTGGCAGCTTTTCAACAGTAGTAATGCACACACACACACACACAGAGAGAGAGAGAGAGAGAGAGAGGGAGGGAGGTAGGGAGAGAGAGAGATCTAGATGTCTTTAAATATGAGTCAGCAGTGTGGCACAGCTGCCAACTAAGCCAATGCAATTCTGGGCAGCCTCAACAAAGGGATAGTATCAAGATCACAGGGAATGATAATACCATTCTGATGACACCATGTTTGGAATATTGCATCCAGTTCTGGTCACCATAATACAAAAAATATGCTGGAGCCCTAGGTGGAGTACATGGAAGAACAACAAAGATAATAAGAGTTCTGGAGACTAAATATATGAAGAACAGCTAAAGAAACTGATTGTGTTTAGCTTAACAAAGAAAAGCCTGAGAGGAGACATGATAGCAGTCATCCAATACTTGAAGTGCTGCCAAAAGAAACTTGACACGCTCTTTTAAAATTATTATTATATTTAAATATTAATAACACTGGTAAGTGTGATTTTATATTTTCACTGTAAACCAATGGTTTGGTAGCCAATGGACTAGGGAATAAAAAAAAAACAGAAGTAAATTTATTTAAGGATTGTACAATTTTAAAGGATCATCATACATGTCAACATTTGATTAAGATATCACATGAACAACTTTCAGGACTGACTTTCTATCTGAGTAAACGCTACCACAGATATTACCTTAGAATCATAGAGTTAGAGGATTGAGGGGACCTTGAAGATTTTCTAGTCTAGCTTCAGTGCAGGAATTCTCATACTATTCTGTACAAATGGCTGTTCAGTCTTTTCTTGAAATCCCCAAATTTTGGAGCATTCACAGCAGGCTGTGAAAGACTTAACAGCTCTCACAGTCATCAAGTCCAGCAATCTCTCATGTTCGTTCAATGTTCATTCAATTTACTGCTGAATTATTTAATGTTACACTGAGTAGCATGGAAAGGTTATAACATAGAAGTGCAGTAAACCTTCTACCATTCCTGATCATTTGCATGAGGTCAGTCAGCTCAAGTCACAACCCTCCTTTAGTAGGATAACATACTCAGTCCAGAGTGCCTGCAGTAGTAAAAAAATATGTGGAGATCATAAGAGAGCTGGAGCTCAGTTGTATGTGAAATGTTAAGGATGCAGCACCCATTAATCAAACTTATCCATGTTATTAACATTTAAATAGAATAAACATATAAATAATATGTGTTAAAAGCTTCATAAATATCTGTATGCACTTAGCAAATCAGTATATTCAGCCTACTCTTAGTATTTTGTTTATTCATCTTCATCTGATTACATTGAACATGTAATAAACTGATAATATTGCTAAACTTATAATAAAGCAACAAATATATTGCCTAAGATATAATCTTTACTAAGGTTTTGCAAGAATTTTATGATACCTTAATCAATGCACATAGGAAAAATTCCAAGATGTAATAGCTAAGAAAGTGTCTAGTTCAAAGCTCTTCTTTGGAAATGGCTTTGTTTTTGTCAGCTTCACAAAACCAGGGTGATCTGCACACTATATGAAACTCAGCAGTTATTAAAAAAGACCTGCAACAAATCTGCATGAAAATTAAATTTTACTTTCATCAAGGAGAGAATAAACATATGGGAGGATGTTTAATCTTATTTATCAAAGACCATTTGTATAATTAAACACGAATATCATAAAAGGTTGACTGAGGTCATGATTTGCATGAGTAAGTAATTTGTAGAATGTCAGGAGCAATAGATGGAATAGATGGATGTGTGAATATATAGGGTTAAATTAGACTCAATAATAGTGAAGCACACAGTGATCAATCAGAATGATAGATCTAAATGGCAATACAAGCGGACTGTATGTGTGATTTTGAGTATTAAGTATTCCTTAGTAAGCTTTCATGGCGAGCAGTTCTAACTATACGAAAACTTGTTCTTACGCTATCTCCTAATTTTCTGCTGTAAAATTTGAATTTATTCCAAGTTGGAAACGAAGCCAAAGGTCTTAAATACATTCATAAATGAAGATTTTTAACTATGTAATGGACCTTATTACTGTGGACCTAGCTTCAACTGCAGCTGAGAAGCCACTAGTAAATCATAGGTGCTAGAAGTTTCAAGAAAAGAAACCAATTTTAGTGGCCTCAGCTATGCAACTGATGTCTGAATGACATATTTAAAGTATTCTGTTGAAGTCATAAGACTATTCAATTGCAAAAAGATGGCCATTTTTTTTAAAAAAAATTTAGGGATCATACTGTGGAATTATTGACTCTTAAGTAAATTGTGTGACTCGTACAGTATGCTTATACATTGCCTGAGACTGAAAGTAGAGTACAAGAAAATTAATTATATGTTGAAAAGAGGAGGAGGAAGAGGAGGAATAACAATTGCAAAAGATGGTTTTCCTGTGAATAGTTTACATTCTAAGATGATATCTTTAATTCCATAAATCAAACATCTGTCTATCCCAGGTCCTTGGGAAGGACTCAATAGGTAAATAAAAATGCCAAATCGAGTCTAAAAACCTGGCTGGCTGTGTGATGAACCACAGTAATAATAGGACTCCCAGTGAGGCATTACTTTGACATATTAAAGGTACCTTAAGTATAACCCCAAAACAACTCAGCATTGTCAAAATCACTGTCATTGTAAAAGGCAGTGCCATATCATGAGAACATACCACTGCAATATTAGCTAAGTTAAAAGTTACTAAAAATGAAACCTTTTCATACAATTTCCAGGCTCAGAAACAAAAGTGTAATATTCAAGAATCACACACATTCAATTATTAATATAAATTCATAGGAATCAAACTATTCACTTTTCTAAACAATGGCATCAGCTGGAACATTTATGGATGAAGGTGACATGATAAAAATTTTCACTGTATCCAAATCATTGTAGATTATGTTCTTGCATTTAATGTCCCTCTATTTAAACAAAATTGCCTTGTAATTAAAACCTTCTGTGTTTCAGTATCTAATCCTGCTAAGTTTTTTGGATTAAAAAAAAGGAAACTTTTGTCTGTCAGACAATAAAACCTGGTGACTGAACTCTGGACATAAATGCCACACTAAGACAAAAAAAAAAACTTTAAAAAGTTTCTACAATTGGTTGATTTTGTGACAGAGGGATTAAAAACACATTTTTAAAAAAATATAAAAAGTAAATCAAAGGTTCAGACAACTTTTGTTCCTTTTAAATATTTCATTGCATCCATAACTAACATGGATGTTTACCTCCAAAAGACAGACAATTTAATAATTTGTTCCTATTGGTACATAATAAGATGGTTAAAACACTCCCAGGAGACAAATAAGCAGATATTAAAAGGTCTTTCCAATACCTGCACTGACTAAGGGCAACAGTTAATTCAATAGATTCGATCAAAATCACTACTTCTTTCAGGCCTGCTGATTTATTACTTTGGCTGTAGTTAGTCATCACTCATTTTAGTTTGCTTTTCAGAGCTCATAAATTATGCGGTATAAATAAAAAGATACAATCAAGGAAACCATATCAATTCACATAACAGCCAGGGGATATATAGACTCCTATGGCACTCACAGTAATGTCTTTTTAAAAGACAGGCCTATCACAGTGTTCGAGTACGTCAGAAATAAACAACCCAAGAGGTCTTGCCCTAATGAAGAATTAGCAGGCTCATAACTACTGTATCTGTATGTATGAATTTATCATACTTAAACAGGGACTTTTATTTACTTGAGCAATTGTGCAAAGATTAATCACCAACTTCATTATTGTACAAAGATTTGAAAAGGGTAAAGATGAACACAAATGGGTTTTTGTTTTCTCCCCTCTCTGTTTCTGCCTCTCTCTGATGTATCTTAGGGACCAGCCCACACTAAGCTGCATCAATTGGAAATCAGCTTGATTAAAGACAATCAGTAGTCAGCAAAGAGTAAACAGCTATAAAAATAGGAGCTCAGTCAATCCCTGCTCAGTTGCCTGTGGTTTGCATAGTAGATCATCTTGCCTCTGAAGATACCAATCATGGTTGCCAGCAAAATATCAAAAATCTGTTGTTTTAGACCACTGTCATTAAATCCTGATATGGTGGCTCAGTGGCTAAGAGGCTGAGTTTGTCGATCAGAAAGGTCAGCAGTTTGAATCCCTAGTGCCATGTAACGGAGTGAGCGCCCATTACTTGTCCCAGCTTCTGCCAATCTAGCAGTTCGAAAGCATGTAAAAATGCAAGTAGAAAAATAGGAACCATTGGAAGGTAACAATGTTCGGTGTGTCTTCGGCATTTAGTCATGCCAGCCACATGACCACCAAGATGTCTTCAGACAATGTTGGCTCTTGAAACCAAGATGAACACCATCTCCTTGAGTCAGGAATGACTAGCACATATGTGCCAGGATAACCTTAACCTTTACCTTTACATTAAATCCTGAAGCTAAACACTGCCCATGGTGCTTCATATATCTGAATAAATAATGATAGTTTCATTTATTTCCTGAACTGAAATCCAATATAAAAACAATTATGCAGAATCCCTCCCCCCAAAAAAAGCTGCATAAATCAGATGCCACCAATGAAAAGGCCCTTCTTTGGTAGACAGGAACCACAGCTCTGATGATTAGTATCTAACTGAAATATTCTTAAATCAAAGCATATTGTATAGGATTTGCATTCATTTTTGTATTCTGTCACATTATAAAACTAAATTGTTGAACCCTTGAGCATGACCATTGATCTCTGTACCATAAGTGGATCTCTAGATTGCAATTACTGATTGCAATTCTTTGTGTTTTTTTTAGAAAATATCCCAGATAGTCTTTGGATTTTAGGAGTCAAATTAAATTCTGAGCAATCTTGTGAGTTATTATAAATACATAAACAATATGTAGTTGATTAACCTTTGTATCTTCTATCCAAATAGGCTATTGGCATTATTTGAAAAGAAAGTTCTGGAAAAGCTTGTCTCAGAGAATGGGATGTAAGACACTATAAATAAGATGACATTCCTTGCCCATCTTTAAAAAAATGATACTTAAGCTTACATACCGGTATCTTTGAGTAAGGAAAGAACAAATGGTTCTCATTTATTTCATGGCTATTATTCTTGTTGATACTGTATCAATTTTCCCATGATAGCATTTCAGTTAAACCCAATACCCAAATACTTAAATGAACTCACTTGTTCTATCTCCTTATCATCTAATGCCCATCCAGGTCTATTTGGTCTTTTAGTAAATACTGCCACCTTAGTTTTTGAATAATTTATCTGTAAGTATGCTTTCCCGGAATAGGTGCCAAATTCTGTCAGGATTTTTCTTCTTCCAATTTAATGTAGTTGACATGACCACCATGTTGCCTGGTAATTTGTCCACCTCTCCTTTCTAACTGGAGATTTCAAAACTGAACTTGGGGGTCCTTGGTGTGAAAAGAATTGTTCCATCCTAAGATCTTTCTTGTGCTGCCCTGAATTAAATGGTTTGTTAAAGCTTCAGAAATAAATAAAAAAAGATACCCTGTTTTCCTGAAAATAAGACCTCCCCGGATAATAAGCCCAATCGAGCTTCTGAGCGCATGTTCTAAAATAAGCCCTCCCCCCAAAATAAACCCTTCCCAAAAATATTGCAACACAGCAGCAGCCATGAGGTGACCATGCTCGCCTCCTGCACCTCAAAAATAATAAGACCTCTCCAAAAATAAGGCCAAGTGTTCATTTTGGGGGTCAGGGAAACATGGTACTCTCATTTCTGACCTTAGTTGTATTGTTAATGTCAGAAACATCAAGCTAGACTGAAGACTGACAGCATTCTTTTTAAAGGACTTCTTTCCATTTCAGGAAATTTACTTGCATTTACAACTTTATAGCCAACAAACACGGCTCTGAGAGAGATGCAGAAGAATCAATATGATACTTAATGAAAAATAAATCTGGGTTTCATCAAAAGTCAATTCCTACATTTATGAATTAGATGTCTCACAAGCAATATAAATATATTGTCAACAATAGTAAGTCTAAGAATAGCTCCCTGAGGGATGCTACATATGACATCTGCGAAAGAAGAATGCAGGCACACTTTTTTCCTTTCACATAGACACCTCCATTTCAGAATAAAACTGATAACATATATGGCTTAGTGCCGTGATGGCGAACCTATGCCATGCGTGCCAGAGGTGGCATGCATGCCAGAGGTGGCACACATGCCAGAGATGGCACGCATGCCAGAGGTGGCACGCATGCCAGAGGTGGCACGCAGACCCCTCTCTGTGGGCATGTGTGCCATCGCCAGCTGCTCTTCTGGTTTTCGGTGCGCACATGCACAGCTGATCTTCATAGGTGCCAGAGCGCCGGAAAACAGCTTGAAAATGGCCCCCAAACACAGCCAAAAACAGACCGTTTTTCTGACTGTTTTGTGGATACATTTTCAAGCCAAAAGCAGCCCTAAAAACGACCTGAAAATGAAAACAGCCTGAAAAACAGCCAAAAAACAGGCATGTGTGCCAGCTGGTCTTTGGATTTCCGGTGCTGTGGTGCATGCACATGAAAGCATGTTCCAGTTTGGGCACTCAGTGCCAAAAAGGTTCCCCATCACTAGTTTAGTGCATCACTGACTAATTTCAAAGTAGCTATTAATAAAGACTTGATTAATAAAAGAAGCAAAACAAAAATAAGTGAGCAATGGCTTGCAGTTTATTTGAACTCTTATTCAGTGTTCTATTAGTTTCAGCTAAAATCTAACTTTGTGGATGCCATAAAATGTAATCAAACTTCTTATTTCTGTATAACATGTGAACATGTATTTCCACAACCCTCCCCAATTATTGGCAAGTTCAGAATGTTTGATAGTTTCAAATGTGTCATTTTAATAAAATCTAAATTTGAGTGAAATCTTTGAAAAGAATGGGTTTAATTGCAGTAAGAATTTTCAAGTAATTCAGAAGCAAGGTAGATAGTTGCATTTTTGCTTAAGCCTAAATTTGAAAAATGTAAATCTCTTCTAAATATGGCCTTACTTTATTGTTCAATATGACATTTGGGAACAGCATTGTGCAAAATGATAGGTTGTCCTTGATACAGAGTGTTACAGCCGATGTAAATACTTTTAAAAGGAGTCATGCTAGAAGAAATATCCAGATTTCTATCATTTGAATAATTAAAATTAGAAGACTGAATATATACTAATAACATTTTCCGAAGAAAACTCATCATTTGCTTAAAAGGTCAGAGATTGTCATAAGTATTAGCAATAGTGTCAGAGATTAGGCCAATTGGAAAATATGTAAATATCATTTAGTTCCCCCCAGCCAGCTTACAGTTTGCTAAGATTTCATAAAACTTCTGGTATTGCTGCCTGCGTGAGTTTGTTACAACTGCATAAAACTCATCAATTGAAGTATATTCATTTTCTCTCTCCCCCCCTCTCCCTCCCTCTCTCCTTCCCTCCCCCCTCTCTCTCAGATTCCAGCCTCTAATGTGAATAATGAATTCCAGAAAGCATTCTAATTGTTAACTTGTCAAAGCTCAAAGAAAATGGCATCAATAGAAATAGGAAATCAAATAACTGAAGAGCCATCATCAGTGATGAATCAGAGGCTTTCCCGTGATATCAAGCATTCCTCTGAAACTTGCCATGTGCAGCCATCTATACCCCATATGTAATTATGCAGAATCACAAGAGTCATCCAAAAATGTTTGGTGAAAAAACTTGTCCAAGTTCCCAAGGTCCCATATTATCCAGCTCAAAAAACACTAGGGATAATTACTGGAATTAAGGAACCATTGTTACATCTTGGTTGTGACAAGTCTAAGAGGCCTCTGGATATGTTATATCACTCAGATAATATGTTAACTGAAGTACTCTTTATTGGGACTAAGTCAGTCAACAAGACAAGACAGAGAAATAGATACACACCAACTCCCCCTTCCCCAATTTGTATATGTCTAGACCCTGTGCAGAAAAGAGTAACATCTGCATCAGAACTGGAGTAGAAGGCACTCATATCCATTCAGCATCATGCCCCTGGGAATCTGTCAGCTTCACTATATCACAAAACAAGTTCATGTATAAAGAGGAATTGCTATGCCATCTCGAAGCACTGTGATCCCTAATAGTTGTTAGAGCAAATAATATCATTGCTAAGATACTGTATATTAACTATTTGATAAAGAGAATTTCCCAGCAAGATGCCCAGAAATATTCACAGCAATCTCCCATTTTCATACCTGATATTCATATTCGGTGAAAGGCAAGAGTGTGTCATCTTTGAATGAAGTGGATGAACCATTATAAACAAGGCTGACATTGTGTTGATTGGGTACTGACTGTCTTCGATAAAGCTCATAATGTAAGATGTCTCCATTTGGGTGCTTTGGGCCAGTCCACACAATGGAAAGAACAGTCTGGAATCCATCAGGACTTGACTGGACATCTATGAAAGGAGCTGGCTGTATTTCAGGGGGTGCTTCAAGAGTTTGTGCGGATGACCATTCACTGTGAGTGCAGCCGAGAAGACCGCAAGCTTGTACTTGTACTTCGTACCTTTGCAAACACAAACCACAAATGAGGCAGTAGAATCTAGGCTTTGCACTACATATAAAGGTAACATAAAGTGCATATATGTTCCACAAGACTTAAGTTTGCAGATATTCAAACAAAGAAGAAATGCATTCCTTAAAAAGACTGGACTGTAATTTAATATCTTTTGGTGAATAAGAATCTAATCATATGAACTGAAAATATTGGGATACTTTCATCTGGACAGAAAATAACACAACACTAAATTTGTTAGATTGGCACAGGCTAGCTATAAAAGAAAAACAACCGGATTGACTAAGTAAATTTAGTCAACAATTCTTACAATGGACAAACAAATATGCATGCACCCCCCAGCTTTTTCATGGATGCAGTGAGCTAATCTTATGCCTTGAGAAATCAATTTAGGTTCTAAAATACAAGAATTCGCTCCTCATTTACTCATTACAGCATATGCTTACAACTTACCTTTGATAAGGTTTTAGTTCTGTTAAGTTGTAAGATCGTCTTCCAAAAGAATCATGGAATGAATCCAGATAAATCACTTTCTTTTGTGATTTAATAGGCTCCCGAAGAATGATAGTATAATTGATCAGGTTACCATTAATCTTTGCTGGAGGATCCCAAATAACCAAAATTGTCTGTGAGGTCCATGGATGCAACAGAGGTGGAGACATTCCAGATGGGGCAGAAGGATCAGTTCTTATCTTAGCTATTTGACTGGTGACACTCCCTTGGCTGTTGTTTGCAGTAACAGTATAGATGTATTCCATTCCAGGAGTTAACATAAAGTCTTTATAGTGTGTATCTAGACCTGAATAAACCAGCAATCCATTTCTCCTTAGCTCATAAATCTGGATTTTACCATTTGGATTATTGGGAGCTTTCCATGTAATTTCTAGAGATTCTGAATCTGTCACTAGTAACTTAGGGGGATCTAAGTTAAGAGGAGAGGCTTCCATTGTCCAAGCAGATTGGGATGCACTAGCAGTGCAGCCTCCATTGGTACAGGCAACCAATGTGATGTCATATTTAGCATAAGGTTGTAGATTCACTACTGTCTTGAATAAACTCTTTCCAACATATTGTTCTTCACCATTCAGCTTTAAAATGTACTTTACGATTTCACCATTTTGAATTTGGGGTGGTGACCAAGATACATTAATCTGGGTTGAATGTATACCTTCTAGAGTAGGAGGGCTGACTATTGCTGGAGGTGCCTCTAATGTCCGTATTCTGGAATGGTCACTAGAGCAGCACCCTTCCAGGGTGCAAGCAGTTATTACATAATTGTATTCTGTATATGGAAGCAAATCTTCATCAGTGTAATTGAAGGTTGAAGCATCAAAGCTAAAAGGATAGGGAACATCATTTCTTTGGAGCTTATATGACAGCAGAACACCATTGCTTTTTTCTGGGAGTGACCATGAAATCCACATTTTGCTGGGATTTTGAGGGATAAAAGTTAACATGGGAGCAGCCATGCCTTCTGGGGCAGCTTGACTGGTTTTTGCAGCAGACCAAGGACTATCAGTGTAGCCTGCTGAATTCCAGGCACGTATTTTATATTCATATGTAGTCCATGGCTGCAAATGCTGAGCATGATATACAAATGCATTACTCCCAGTGTTATATTCTGTGAAAACAATGTCCTCTTCTTCTGTCGTGCTATTTTCCTCTGAAGCATTTTCTTTGGTGTGTCTGTGAATAACTTCATAGCGCATTATTTTTCCATTTGAATTAATTGGCTCAGACCAGCTCAGTTCAATGCTGGTTGCATTCACCGAATGGATCACGGGAGCCATTTGAGAAGCAGGAGGGGCTGCATCTGTCCAAATTTGCTGTGGCGAAGAGCGAGTGCAACCAGCTGCTGTACAAGCTTCAAGAAGGAGAGTGTACTCAGTGAAGGGCTCAAGACGTCTGAAGAGGAACTGACGAGACAAACCACTATATTCTAAATTACCATCATTGAAAATATTGTAAATCTGAAAGAAAATGTCCATACATTAGCAGCAAGACCATTAGTTGCCTCATCAGGCAACTTTTTAAACTACTACAACCTCCCAAATAGGTATAATAACTTTTCATAGGCTCCATTGGCAGCCCATCCCTGCTGCTCTTTGGATATTGTAAAAACAGGGGGTTCATTAAAGTTCCAGTAGGAAAAACAAAAAGCATGAAGAAAGTATTCATTTTGATGCTTCGCCTCCTACCCACCTCTCTTTTCTTTGGGAAAAAAGTTTTACTCTGCTCACTTTTGTGCACATGTTATATGCAGGCACCGTTGAGTCAGGGCTGTCTTAACAGCATTATGGGCCCAGGGCAAAGCAGTGTAGTGGGGCCCCCATGACAACTACTCACTGGAATAAAAATGTAAATGGTCAATAAAATTAAACATATTTGGATGTTGGAACATTAAAGACATGTTGTGCAGCAACAGCTAATCAATGTGATAAACATTTGAACAACACACGAGGCTTGAAAAATACAATAATACTCAGTAAGCCATACAGTTGCTGTATTTACTTGATACAAGGTGCATTGAAGGGTTAACATACATAGATTAGTATTGCCGCCCCCCTAGTATGGGGGCCACGGGCAAGTGCCCATAAGGCCCATGCATTAAGACAGCCCTGCATTGAGTTAGTGTTAATTCCTGTAGGCTAGTTCCTTCTTGTCAACACTTTCAGCTGTGGTTTGCCATTGTCTTTTTCCAAGGGCTGAGGGAGAGTGACTGACACCAAATCACCCAGGTAGCTTTGTGCCTAAGGCAGGGCTACAACTTGGGTTTTCCCATTCAAGGGCCAGTACCTTAAGTACTAGATTCAATAGGCTGAGAACGCTTGCATTATGTACTCAACATTATTTTAATGCTGAAAACTGAAGGACTCACTGAGGAAAATCAAGATGTACATATAGATCCAAAGTTAATGGGCTAAGCATTAGATTTGGATTATTTCTGAGGATACTGGAAAGCTCAGTGTTTGACCTTTTAGATGAATTGCTATCCTGTTGCTTGGAAGAAAGACATGAAAATGTCTTATATTGGCAGTACTGAAAAGCTCTAAGAAGGATCTACTTAGTTCAGTCTGATTTAATTATGGATGGATAGATAGATTTTTAAACCAAGTCTTGATTTTTAAATGAGGAAAAGGGCTGGGGTTAAGGCTTTAAATGACCATTGCAAAGGACTGTGAAAAATCTCTAAGGTGCTAAAAGCAATCACATATTTTCAACATTTTTTTTAAAAAAGTATACTTTAATAGTGTCATCTTTATTTTAAAATGAAAGTCTCTAGTAAAAAGGGTAAAATAATACAATATCTCCTTCCTGATAAAGACCAGCAGAGGGGACAAGGAAAAAACACACAGAGCAGAAAGTATCCTGGAGATGCTTCCCAGAACAAGGACATATTCACAGATGTTAGGCTAACATAAACTAACATAAGCTAACTAAAACTGGTAAGTCTTTAAATTCTACAGATGATTCTTTTACGTAAGTGTAATGACTGGAGGTCTGTGGAGATTCTCAATCATCCATGTCATGGTTATCTCCAAGGTGCTTTTTCAAAAGGCAACTGGGCTTTCTTTATTTTTCCTTGAAGACGTTTTGCTTCTTATCGAGAAGAAGCTTCTCGATACATTTTAATATGAACATTTTGTCCTAGTACTCATCATTTGTTTGATACTCAAAGCACAAGCTAGAATTTGTTAGTGTTGGCTGCCTTGTGGTTCACTATTATTTCTTATAGGAAAAATTTGTTTGGTTCTCATCATTTTTGGTACTCATTGCAATTCTTGGAATCCATTAATGAGGAGTATCAAGGTGCCATTGTATGGCCTATCACTATATTGTAAATGAACTACAATTGAGAGAACTCATGAAGTTCTACATTAAAGGTTTGCAGTATTGCAAATTAAAACATTCATAATATACTAGAGCACTAATGACTTTTACATCACGACTTTCTCCACAATGTTTCTGTTCCACTTTGATGAACTAAGATTCAATTACCTTAATATTACCATTGGGTTTGGAAGGCTCTGGCCATCTGAGTAATAATGCCCTGCCATTCTCTTTCTTGTCCACTGTAAAGTTGCTTAGGCCACTTGGAGAAGCTTCCAGGGTGCGCACTGAAGTCCATGGACTAGCAACTTGGCCAGCATTATTGACAGCAACAATATGAATGTAGTAGGTTGTATATGGCTTCAAACCAAACAAATAAGTTTGATACATCTCTCCCTGTAGATAAAAGAGACAAACTTGTGATTTTGATGTGTGATTTGCCTTAAGATCAAGCATTTACAAAAAAAAATATAAAGACATATAAAAGAGTTTATGTGGAAGTAGTTTTTATAAGATTGATTACAATGTACTCTCATAAGCATGTGCAGTAATATTGAATGGACTCCACTAATGTCTGTAGGTCTTGAGTCAAAAATGTAGTTTTTGGTCATAAAATTATTCTGTTTTACTATTCTCTGCCACCATCATGCTACATAATTTTTCTCTTCTCCCATTACATTCTATGCTTTCTGGGGCTTTTTAAAAAAAATATGAAGCAGTGTATCTTCATCACCAGTAACACCCTAAATTAAAATGTAAACATCTAAAAGCTAAATAAAAATGGTTTAAAATACTGTTCAACTCCACTGGGAGTCCTAAAAGAATCAGGTTAGGGACAGATCATTGATCACTGACAAATGATATCGATCTATGTGGTTGCTAAGAATTAACACCAACTTGATGACACATTATCAGTCAATCAATTATTAGATTGATTTAAGTGACTTGGCTGAAGAAGAAGGTCTCACTGTCACTGCTTTCTTTTCTTCTTCCATCTTCACTGAAATTTTGTACTGCCTAAGGTTGGGTCAGAACTGGGATTCAGTACCCCTAACAGCTTCCCAAGCTTGGGATAGTTGATTAAGTATTTTAAGGGAGATTCGGGTTAATGTCAGTGTTCCAAATAACATCCAAAATTAAATCAGAGTCCCAAACAAAGTATTGCTCAAAGTTCCAATTTATTAAGAGAGTCATGTTGGCACATCTGTGAAAACATGAATCTGAAAGTTCGTGATCTTGCCCCCACACCCATAAATCCATCACATGGTCCAATCTTCCACTGCCACGCTGGCAGTTCCACCCATCCAGTTCCAGTCAGGCGCAGAGGTGCAAAGACAAAGGAGGACTTTGGATGCTAGAAAGGAATTTCATTTTGACAACATCACATTCTTCTCCTTACTATTCCCCCTCCCAATTCCCCACTAATGAAACAGCATAGTAAAATAAGAGAGAGTGTGGTCAAAGATCCAGAAAGGAATATGACTGCAGGCCTGATACTCACTTTCTTTTCAGATGGCAGATTAAATGGTACAGTTCACAGGGAAGTGAGAGAAGGCCCTCTCCTGAGAGATGAACCTCTGAAACTCCAGGCCAGGAATGTGCATATTTGAAAACAAAGTGGGTAAGGATGCTTTGAATCCTGTATGGGTAGCCTCACTATACCTCTTTGCAGCTCCTTAAATGAAGTGTGCCTTTTCTAGGGTACCTTTGGCAACTGCGTAGACTCATGGAAATGCATGTTTGAGTTACTACTTGGGCACATTTAGCAAAGAGTCTCCTGACATTTTTAATGCCCATTCAAAACTGGCTTCAGAATCAACTGTAATTCTGGCACATTTATACCGAAAGAAAACATCTCAACTCTCTCATAATATTTGCATTTAGAATTCTTTACACACCTTTCCCTTTGATGGTGATTAGATACATCCCCTTATGATTACTTCATTAAAAAAAGACTCAATTTCTTGGTTTTAGTTAAGTAGCTAAAAGCCACACTTCCAAGCTGCTAAATATTTAAATATCTGGTAAGCGGCAAGATGAAAAAATAATCTCTTTTTTTGCAGAAAAATAATCTTTTTTTAAATATTAAAAGTTACATAATAAATATTTAATAGTTATTTTCCCACAACAATGAGTTTCCATTTTAGATAAATATAACATAGCATTTGAATGTCCATTTTGAATATTAAAGCTCAAAACCCACCATGACTGATTACAAATATACTGTTCAATGACAATTATTTGTTACCCCTCCCATGTTGAAGAAGGTAAGCTCCTATGAGAATAATAATGATGAATGCAAGGGGTTGCGGTGGCTAAATATGAATTTTGCTTTTCATACTTTGCAAAGATGAGTAAAACTTCCTCAGCTAATAGTCTTAAATTTGCAAAAAGCACTCTATCAATCGGATGCAGATGTCAATGGACTTTTGTTTAAATTCATTCCATTCACATTTATTTAAAAGACCCATTAAGTTCGGTAAAGGTTAGAGAGAACTGTGCATTTCTCCTTTACTGCAATCCTAGAATGCTTCCGGGGAAGATTTTTCTAGTGAGATTTACAGATTTTATTTTTATTATACCTATGGACAGGATCCCAAAATTGCTCAATCTAAGATCTAGGGACAAGACTGCTCTTCTTTTGTTATTGCTCAATTTATTTTTATTTTCTTCAAAATTCACTGTACTGAAAATCGTGTAGGAGTTGTTGTTATTATAAACCAGGAAACTCAAATTAAAACCTAAAACAAAATTTATTTTTTCCAAGTGCTGCCTTTCCTTGTCTCTTTGGAGAAACAGTGCTGAAGCCACTTCTGATTTCCAATGAAGAGGAAAAAATGGAAATGCTGCAGGTCCCAAGCCTGTGGTCTAAAAACAATGAAAGGAAAATACAAGAGGCAAGTTTGAAATTAATTAGCAAAAGCAAGCTGGAAAATCTCCAGCTAGATCGTTAAACTGACCAAAGAAAAACAAAGGTTTAAAAGTCCCATTGTGACTATATCTACTCAAAATGCTGAAATCTATTTAGCTTGTAATATATATATATATATGTAAACCCTATTAAAATTCTTATATCTGTTTGTTTTTAACCTTCAGTTGGGCAAAACTGGAATGCATAGGGCAACAATTGAATCAATACTTAAAGAATGCCAGACTTATCATTCTGGTGAGAATGAAATTTGGGGAAATTGTAGTTGCTTCAGCACAATTGTGTCTTTTGACTATACTTCCCCAACTACTTTATACTGTGAGTTGCAAGGGAAATATTTGCATCTCAAAACTATATGTAGCCCACTATCTTCTGTCCACCAAATTCATTAGGTCCCACTGTCATTAGCAGGACAGTGAATAGAAAATGTGGAGATCCTTGGTGTGGGGAAGCAGAGTAAGTTCAGTGGTGTGACTGTTGCAGGTTTTCTGATATTGGCAGGAACATCTGGCTAATGATATTTATTATCTTTTTATCTCATTAAGATCTCTGCCTAGCAGTATCTCTCCAAAATGGCAAGGCTAACACTTGGGTTCATTCATTTTCTCCTCTCTTAGCTTCTTTATTGTAATCATACCCATTGAATAACTTCTATGTTGGTCTTGCAAACACATTGGGATTGGGATGCACAGCTCAGGTCTCAGTTTAGGGGCTCAAGATCCCCACTCTTTGTTTCATACTTTACTTTGATGTTCTGTGATTGGGACTGAGGATGACTAAATGGATTGCAAGGCAACACTCAGAGGTGCTGAACTAAACATTTACTACTTGAAAATGGGTCTGGCAAAACTAAAATGCCTCTCTTTTTTCTGTAGCTCTCTGTGTCTATTGCATATCACTATGCCAGCCGTGTCTGCTCATTCTGCTAATATAGGTTGTCCACACTGGCCCATGGGATGCTGAGACAGCATAATGGCAGGCTGAGCACCAAGTACCCAGATCACAATCACGTGACTGCATGGATGCTGAAACCAGCAGAAGTGCAACTACCATTCATACAGTGTTGTTGTAAGGTTTAACAGCCATGGAACAAGTGGTTGTTAAATGAGGACCTATATACCTAAGGCGCAGTGCTGTAGTTTGTCAGTGATGACAGGTCCTTCAAAGAAACCAAACCTGCCAACAGCTATACCAATGCTTCTGACATCTCAAAGCCAGTGCTCTCCTTTCATATCTTTGCATCAAAAAGGCATTGCAGGAAAATCCTTGAGCATTTCAAACAGTACTTGGCAGGATTAATAGTTTCCAAAGGATCTATCAGATGTGATGTCTTCATCACACTGAGCCAAAAATGACTGTCTTCATTCTGGTGCCTCCTCATTATAGTTTATATACAGGTTGTTTTTTTTTTTTAAAAAAAAA